TTATAATATTTTTTACATGTCAATGCAAAAATAAGCAAATTTATCAAATAATTATTGTGATTTGATTTTAATATGCTAAGCTTCAATGGCATGTTTTTCCCCCTTTTCCCCTTCTCCTGTCATATGGCATGGCGGGCCAAATCAAAGGTCATCATGGGCCCTTCAGACATTTTGGGTTCTCAAAAGATTTTTCTTTCAGTGAGCTTTTTAAAAGAACCATTTTTTCCCATCTCAAATATATTTTAATAATCTGAAGAACTTTTTTCGATTATGAAGGGCCTTTTGTTATGTCAAAGGTTCTTCATGGAACCATCAAATAACTTTTATTTTAAAGAGTGTATTGCAAAGCCATTAAAATAATCATTATTGAGTCATGTAGTACACTGTAAATGTACTTAAAACTAGTGCTGTCAAACGATTAATCGCATCCAAAATAAAAGTTTTTGTTTGCATAATATATGTGTGTACTGTGTATATTTATTATGTATATATAATACACACACATGCATGTATATATTTCAGAAAAATATGTTAAGTTTATATATGAAATATATTTATTTATAATATAAATTATATGAATATAAATATAGACGTAAATACATGTAAATATTTCAAAATATATACTGTATGCATGTGTATTTATATATATACATAATAAATATACACAGAACACACACATATATTATGCAAACAAAAACTTTTATTTTGGATGCGATTAATCGCGATTAATCGTTTGACAGCACTGCTTAAAACATTTTTAATTTGTGTTTAGTTTACCTTCTTGGCTTGGAAGTTCACCATAATATTGTATTTTTGTTTTACAAATACTTTGTTTCCCTCTCGGAAACTAATTCAAACAATACAGCACAGCCACAGACCCTTGATTTAAAGGATAGAACCAATTCAATTCACCTTCAAACATCCCCATCACAAAGAATAGATACTAGAATCAATTAATAACAATAAAAATGCATTGTTTTTCTGTGTAAACTAGAATATAATTTGTATTATATTCAGTATTCAATGTTTACACTCACAATCTATAGGACAAATTATACAAAAACAAATCAATTGTAGCAATTGTTACACCAAATCATGCCAGATTATTACTAATGACAACAATTTTCCATTTTTTTCCACATTGCCCTTCCCTCAAATACATTTGTAAACAGCACAAGTCTTATATCGATGCTGCATTCATAGGTACAGAGCTAGTACGCACTGCAACATCAGCAGAATCCAGCAAAACAGATGGGTGAATGAGCGCTGGAGCCAACAAGCAGCCGAGATGATGCATCAGACACAAAGCAAGAGAATAAAAACACATCAGCGGCATACAGAGACAAATACAGAGACAAAGGAGAGACTCACTGCAGTGGGAAAACCCTAAAACCTGACCCATGCTCCATCAAGGCACCGCTGGGCCCATCCAGTCTGGAGTCCCCCTGTCCTCCGCGCTGTGGCACTCCTCAGCTGGATCGCTCCCTCTCTTTTCAGCTCTTCATGCACCCCTCCCTCGCTCTCTCCTTTAGTGTACTGCTGTTTCTCTTTCTCTCACCCTCCCCTCTCTTCATCAGACGGCCCCTCCCAGGTTCACTCGCTCTCTCATTCTCTGCTGCAGCCAATGGACTCAGAATGCCACTGTGTGTGTGTGTGTGTGTGTGTCAGTATGAGTGTGTGTGTATATAAAATGTCTGTCTCTCTATAAGGCTTAATTTAAAAGTCTAATGAGGCTTTTGTTTGTGTTCTGCCTTCAGCAGAGCCAAAGCCTCATGGGTTGTGAGGTACTCTAGCAAATGAGAAATGCTCACATGGTCTATCAGCTACTCTACATCACGATGTAGAACGAGTACAGCAGCCCACACAGGTTCACATACAGACAAATTAATACAAATCAAATTACAATTAAAGAAATATATATTTTGATATAATGTGTATCGCTATAGTTTTTTTTTATATATATTTTTTTCAATAATTTCAATGTTATTTAGTATTACGTAATAACGATATTATTTAAAAAAAAATGTTATTTAAATACTTATTTAAAAAGAATTATTTATTTTAAAACAGCAATAATTCATTTTTATAGCTGTGGAGACTAGGGCTAGTTGTCACATGGTCCAGTTACACAACTGTGCACTGTAAAAAATGACCGTGAATTTAACGGTAAAAGACTGTAAAAATGCTACAGTAAAAACCTGTTAAATGGTTAACGGTAAATTCCCCTACTATATACGGTGAAAAACTGTATTGGACATAAATTTTACAGTAGTATACCATTTTTGGAAGTGAAAAATACCGTATAATTTACAGTGAATAACCGTAAATTGACATTCCCAGAATTCCCTGCGTTACATTTCAAATTTGATGTTTATATCAGTTAATGAAATTACGGTATTTAACTGTAAATTTAAGTTAAAACTGTAAAACCTAAAACGTTGCTACCGTATTTTTTACGGTAAAATTCCGGCAACCACAGCTGCCGGTTTTTTACCGTAAATTTTACGGAATTTGTTTTACAGTGTGTCTTTTCTTTAGTAGTGGCTTTGTATGTTGATTTCAAGCCCCAAAACTTAAATAGTTTTTGAATTTTATCAAAAAGTGAACACAATAAAAAAAATCATAAAACACACTGACATAGGTTACATCAGGCAAACTTTTTTGTTGTTTCATGAATTGTTTTGTATGTCTTAATTGTTTTACGGTTTAAATTTAGCTGAAAATGTAATTGAAGTTACCCTGTATAGTGCAACAATTTGCCTTTCTCATACAATGTGTGCTCGGTGTGTCTTTTTCTGGGCAATAATGATTTAATAGCTTTCAATGTAGTCAAGCCTTTCAAATATGTCTTGACAATAAAGCAAAAATAGCTGAGTAATTCATTGTAAATGTGAATTCATTGCTTAGCCAGAGTCAAAAAATCATTTGACATTATTTTAAATGTAAAAAAATAGAGTATGTGATTAGGCTCTTTATCTCTTCGGTAAGCATTAGTCCAGCAATAGCGGTGTATACTCTCAGAAAAAAAAAAAAAAAGATTAAAAAAAGCTTTTTTCAAAAGGTACACTTTTGCACATTTACACTTTAGATAAGGTACCAATATAGAGTCTTTACAGGTACAAAGGTTTACCTTTTGAAAAGGTACTGCCCCAGTGACAGATTTTGTAACTTTTTTTTAATACTTTATTCATGTAATTGTGAAATCGTAGCTTACAGTCAAGTAAACATTATTATATAAAAAGTGTAAGGGTAACAGCCTACAAACACAAAAAAAGGGAATCTCTGAACAAGTCAGTGTGTCTGTTATGTAATCGTAGTTACACTGGTTTGAATGTCAGGGTCGTGAAATGCCCTCGCTAACTTTAATCACCCATTGTGTATAAATGGCTCAAATCCAAACGTCACACACCTACGCTGCTTAAATACAGGTAATCTGCAAGCCTTCCAAGAACTGGGCCTTCCTAAGGAGGACAATTCCTACTATTCATAAAGACAGTTACCTTAAGAGACATTCTAACTGGCTATTTAACCATTCACACTACCATTTTACTCTTTCAAAAAAATTATAGTAGTGAAACACAATGTTTACTTAGCAGTGAATTAGGAGTTTGTGTGACAACATTTGGTTCTTATTGGCGATTAGGCAGTTAGAAGAACAAAATAATGTCTAAAAACTAGTGCTGGGCAACGATTAATCGCGATTAATCGCATCCAAAATAAAGGTTTGTGTGTACATATATGTGTGTGTACTGTGTATATTTGAAGACACACATACAGTATATATTTAGAAAATATTTACATGCATGAATATATTTATATTCATATAATTTATATTATATATTTAATATATAAACATAACATATTTTTCTAAATATATGCATGCATGCGTGTGTATTTATTAAAGCAATAAGCCCCAAGAAGCCATGGTTTACAGTGATTTTATAACAGCTGGGGAGTTGTTACCCCCTTACAGGGGCGTGTCTACGTGATGGCCAGGGGTGGCACCGGCCCCCCCTGAAATTTGGCTGGCCACCCCAGGTGCCCCCCCCTACCAAATGTCTTGCCATAGGCTTGTTTTTAGTAAATTTCTAATTTTAGGCGGTTTCTATAGTGTGATCTTAATGACAATGTCGAGAGCACATAATGTTACGCGATCCATGTGTGCGAGGACGAATCTCTCCACTCCCAAGCGGATTTCCTTCACTCACACAAAACTGGACGTGTGCTTTTAATATACATCGTTCCGCAAACACACACACATCCCCCCCCGGCCACCCCCTTTTGAGCCAGTGCCCCCGACTGGCCCTCCCATTTAAAATGCTGTAGACACGCCCCTGCCCCCTTAGCTGTTATAAATTCACTGTAAACCATGGCTTCATGGGGCTTATTGCTTTTATAAAACGGTTATTCCATATACGTAAACAAAGTGGTTGCCGAGCAACACGCAGAAGTAAACAAAGGTGTATGTTTGTAGCGTAATTTACAACAGCCAATCAGAATCAAGGACCGGAACTGTCCGTTTTATAAATATACATAATAAATATAGACAGTACACACATATATTATGCAAACAAAAACTTTTATTCTGGATGCGATTAATCGTTGCCCAGCACTACTAAAAACACCATGGCAAGTACAAAAAGTGGGCTTTGAATTATTAATATCAAGTTGTATTAAACAATAATTGGACTATATTGCATAAGACAACATATTTCATGAATACACTGGTAAAAACCAAACGCAAAACAAATCCCAGCAAGGCTCACTGTCAGTATTGTACATGATTATTAAATCCGTCCTGTTTGGATGCTCATTATGAAACACTGTGTAGGTCATCAAGTGCATGTGTGGCCGCTAACTAATGCAGACACATTACGAAATAGGGATTACACGCAAGTAGGGAAAGACAGAACACTGTCTGAGGATGAGTGAACATAAATAGATTAGCCAATCAGAACTTGGCGAAGGCTTGGCGAATGTAATAAACACGCCCAGAATTCATAAGACTTCACATCAGTAGAACAGTCCAATGGATTTCATTGGGAACAACAGAGGCTTGCTCGAACGACAACATATTTAGGACACTAAATACTGTTAACACTGTTTGTCCAGCAACCGTCCCTCCTTTTTTGGCTCAAACTCAACCGGAGGCACTGGATCGGCTTCGGAGGACCAGAAAGAGGAGTTTGAGGAACAGTAGGAGACTGAAGCGGAGGATCTGGGTGGCCATGAGAACCACCAGGCGGGCCAGCACCATGGAGGTGCCCTCGTTCCTGCGGCAGCTGGTGAAGGAAACCGAGAAGATGGTGACCTTCTTCTTCAAGGGTGGCAGACGCGAGCCGGGAGCTGATGATGAGTACTTTGAAAACGAAGAGGATGTGGGCAGACCCTACTTAGAAAGGCCCGTTTTGGAGAAAGATACGGCAGAAGGCGGGTCGAAATGGGGCGTTAACTACGGCATGGCCAGTATGCAGGGCTGGCGAGCCCAGATGGAGGATTCCCACACCTGCATGCCAGAGATGACCGATGCCTTGCCAAACTGGAACTATTTTGCCGTGTACGATGGACATGCGGGGAGAACGGTGGCTCAGTACTGCTCCAGACACCTGCTGGATTTCATTCTCGACACAGGTACTCACCGATTAAACGCAGATTGCCAGTCTTGAAGGTAAAAAGATAGAATTTGTAAACAGTTAGTGATGTTGTGCTTTTATGTTTAAGCAACTTAAAAATGTAAACTAGATCTTTTTTTTATTTAAAAATGAAAATGTCACTGCGACCACGATATTTGCTAAGCATAATAATGTGCTGGTGATCTAGGCGGTGGTTTGGTGTTATACCTACCTATACTTATTAACAGTAAATTTAGCATAATTACTGTACAGACAAATCCTAACCCTAGTATATGTTAATAACTGATATTCTGTACGTATTTGTGTATTCACCTGGTAACAAGGACACCTTAAAATAAAGTAACCAATATTTTTTATAACTTTACATTTAAAATGTGAAAAATCTACAGTGCAGTAAGACAAAATATATATATTTTTTATTAAAGATGTCTAACAACAGTGATGCTTTCCATACCACTACACTAGCTAAATAAAAATAAAAATAATAATAATAATAGTAAAACAAATAAATAAATAAAAACTTTATATACACATATGAAAAAAAAAAAATATTAAGAGGCCACTTGGACATTCTCAGTTTCTCTAGATTTAGTAGGGTTTAGTTTGAGTAAAATGTTAATATTTGTTTTATTCTATAAAGGTCTGATAACATTTCTTCCAAATTCCAAATAAAAATATTATCATTTAGAGTTTGCTTGTGTTTTCATTTGTTGTGATTGAAAAGCAGGGTTATTCCACAAAATATTGATTTCTTAACTCTTCTGAAGTAAAAAAAAAGTGGTATTGTGTTGTCTAAAAATGAAAATAAACATGTCTAAAAACATGCCATCTTTTTTGTCATTTTGACCAACTGTAAATTTATGTTCTAAATGACAACATTTTTATTTAAAATCTGGAGGAAATTTGGAAGAAAATCGGAGAAAAGTGAAACATACCACTTCTTCTGAAGGGACTAGTGATCTACTAAGATGGATTTTTTTCAATGATAATCGTATCAATAATTTAATAATAATGTAATTCCATTACAACTTGATCTTTGTTCTTAAGTATTAAAACATTTACATTTAAGCTTTTAACTCAATTTTTAAAAAGTGTTACAACAGTGGTTATCATCTCAAAATGCAGAATTTGTCCAAGACAAGTCCAGTATTTTGAATCACAAACTGGGGTCCATGGAAAAATGGGCAAAAAAGTGTAAAAACTATAAAAATAAATAAATAATGATAATAATAAATACATTATTTATTACAGATTCATTCAGCTTTTTAAGCCCTTCATTTTTAAATACTTTTGTTCTATTGAACAATAAGATTTAATATAATATGTTACACACATTTAGAACTATTTTTCACAGTGTAAATAAATGTATACTGCGTCTTTCACAGTATAAATGAACCTTTCTATATACAACATACAAAAATAGTAGCTGTTTTTATATTTTTAGAGAGGGGTCCAAAAAAATAAAAAAACCTCTGATGTAATGTATTAATCGGAAGTAATGGAAATAACAAGCGTTCCTCAAGTAGGTTGGTTACTGGGCAGGCCTCATGTCACTGTGCTTGACCCTGTTATATGATTGTCTGATCAGGCTGTGTGACTGTGGATGAGGATGTAGACCAGGTCAAAGACGGCATCAGAGATGGCTTCCTCAACATAGACCGCCACATGCACACTCTGGCCCACAACGAAACCTGGGACCACAGCGGGTTGACAGCAACCGCTGTCATGATGTCTCCACGAAACATCTACTTCATCAACTGCGGCGATTCACGGACCTTCCTTTGCCGCGACGGCCAGATGGTCTTCTACACGGAGGACCACAAACCTATCAACCCACGTGAGAAAGAACGCATCCAGAACGCTGGCGGCTCCGTCACTCTGCAGCGCATCAATGGCTCGCTGGCCGTGTCCCGCGCCCTTGGCGACTTCGACTTTAAGGAGGTGGAATGGAGGACTCAGACCGAACAGCTGGTGTCTCCTGAACCAGAGGTGTACGAGCTGGAGCGAAGCCCAGAAGATGAGTTCCTGGTGGTGGCGTGTGATGGCGTCTGGGACGCCATCGGGAATGAGGAGCTGTGTGAGTTTGTGCGCAACCGTCTGCAGGTCTGTGATGATCTGAGGGAGATCTGCTCACAGGTCATTGACCTCTGCCTCTATAAGGTTGGTAACAGCAGTGAGAGGATCCCATTGGTTTGGCCACTGGCCATATGAATAAAGGGATAGTCCACACAAAAATGAAAATTCTGTTATTAATTACTCACCCTCATTTTGTTCCAAACCCGTAAGACCTTCTTTCATCTTCGGAACACAATTTATGATATGTTTGATGAAAAAACATGACAGTACCATGACGCAAGTATGTGGCGGCGCCGGTGCTGACCCAGATCTGGCTTGATGACATTTCTGAAATGGCACAACATAAATTAGTATGCATTTATTTAGTATATGTTAAGTTGTTCAGTCATTTAAACTGAACTATTGGGAACCATTGGTTTGGCCACTGGCCATATGAATAAAGGGATAGTTCACACAAAAAATTCTGTCATTAATTACTCACCCTCATTTTGTTCCAAACCCGTAAGACCTTCTTTCATCTTCGGAACACAATTTATGATATGTTTGATGAAAAAACATGACAGTACCATGACGCAAGTATGTGGCGGCGCCGGTGCTGACCCAGATCTGGCTTGATGACATTTCTGAAATGGCACAACATAAATTAGTATGCATTTATTTAGTATATGTTAAGTTGTTCAGTCATTTAAACTGAACTATTGGGAAAAGAGATGTAGAAGTATTTCTTATTCTGTGGCTCCTAAGATTAGTATCATTAACTAAAACTATTAAGATTGTTTTCAGTAACTGAAATAAAAATGAAATGAAATATAAAGATTAGATGAAAAAGTAGAAAAATAAAACAAATGTTCAGTACAGTCATCTAAACTTAAAACTAAAACTATTATAATTATTACTATGATACTATTATACTTTGTTTTCTTTAATATAAATATAGCTGAAATTATATAAAATATAAATATTAATTGAAAAACTGTTGCCTTGGAATCTTACTGAAATACATAAGCTGGAGTACTAAAATTACCAACTGAAATAAAAATGAAATTTAAATTAATTAAATGTGCTAAATAAAATTATGAATACAAATAAACTAAATAGAATTTAAAAAAACTAATAAAAATGGCAAAAAATGGTCTATTCTGTTTCGTTTGATGCAAAATATTTAGTACTTATTTCTACATATTATAAAGTCTAGACACATTTTCCACTATTTTTTTTTTTTTCGATTATTACCCCTAAATATCTCTTAAAAGCAAACAATCTGTGGTTAATTGCTTTAAATGTCTCTTCTTGTCTAAGTGTGTGATTCTTGGTAAGAATAAACTTAATTTGACGTAATGCTGATTAAAAAAATAGTTAAGTTAAGCTCAATAGTTAAGTGTCAGACTCTGTTCCATGTTTTGTGTGTGTGTATAAATGGTGTTCCCAGTCCCAAGTTCTCTGTCCGCTGTTGTACGTCTTCCTGTAAACGTCTTCCTGAGTTCGTCTCCCTTGGTTCCTGTAAATAAAGTCTTGTCAACATATTCTCCAGCGTCTCCTCGTCCCTCGTGTGTGTGCAACGTGACATTAAGCTTCTAAAACTGTGTCAATTTTTTTTCTCACTGTATGAGAATCATTGCATCAATAAGCTTTTATTTATTGCTAGTCATTAGCCCATGACCGGCAAGACAATAACTCAAGTCTGATGCAAAGTCGATATTGAATTGCCAGTAACTCCATCACCTTCTAAAATATTAAACAAGTTTAGGAATGCCTTGTTACATAAAATGATTAGGCATCTTGGTTATGTAATATTATATAATGATATTTCCCTGCCGCATGTTGAGGCGAGGAAGATTACAGAGCACATAATAGAATCAGCTTGACCCGTTCTATGTAGATACTGCTATATAAATAGGAGGGAGCGAGAGGAGATTACGAGATAGATTCTGACTGCAGGTTAAGAGATATCCAGAGTTACAACCAGCTACTCGACCAGGCCAAGAGCTCCTTTGGTTTATAACTGGCATTAGCTGTGTATGAGCATATTTAATCTTAATTCATGAACTCAATATATTTATGTATTAGCATTTTCTAGTATTATTTAAGTACACTGACCTACTCTAATTTGTTTAGTTGATTTTTGTGAGCAGGATTTTAAATTCTTACCTTGCAGGGAAGTTTAGACAACATCAGCATTATCATTATCTGCTTCGACGGCGCCCCCAAGGTGACCCCAGAGGCACTGCAACAGGAGGCAGAGTTAGAGCACGTCATTGAGCAAAAAGTGGCAGGTAATTTCTGATTTTGTATATAAAAGTGTATTTTTTTTTCTTTTACGTTACTCAGAGATCATTAACGTGATCAGATCTAGAGACCAGGAACCTGACCTGCTCTATGTGATGAAATTCCTGGCATCTGAAGATATTCCCGGCCTCCCACCAAGTGGAGGAATCTCATGCAAGTAAGTGATACTGTGGACACTATGTATATAAGTGACTAACATTCAGATATTTTCTCTCAATATCTGGTTTGTTTGTCTGCAGGAAAGATTGCATAATTGGCGCATATCAGAAATATGCAGCAGCCTTTAGATCTCTTGAGCCGATGGTATGTATGAACACATGTTAAAAAGCCATACTTTATGAATTAATCAACATTTTATTTGATTTTAATATGATTTTTAATTTGTCTTTAAATATAAAGTGCTAAAGTTCATTTTACAAATAACAATTCTCCATTATTTTGTCATTATTTAAGGATATTGGCGGCTCTGATGACTCCACCTAGTGGCCATTATGTTGGAGATGGAATCAAGCCTTGAATCTCTGTAGACGTAATAATCAATGTGAGGAGGACATTTGTGCCACCTGCTTTACAGAGGTCAAATTGTTTAGCCAAACTATTTCTTTTTTAAATCAATGTTGTGTATTGTAAACATACAAACAGAAATAGGAGGAAGAGGATGATTTATCATATGCTTTCATGAAGGTAAGGCATTTAACACTGACGCTATGTAAAGCGTTTTATGGAAGACAGAAAGTTTTTACTTTACTTAAAGGTGAAGTGTGGAACTGATGTGTCACCAAATGGAATTGTAAGTGTTTTTGATTAAGGATTTCAAGGACACATGAAAATTTCTCATTTACAATAAACACTCCATTTAAAAAAATGTGCCACAGAGCTGAAGTTTTTAGCAAAAATTAAATTAAATTAATACTTGATTATCTATCCACTTGCATGGGATAAAAGAAAGCAAGCCCACTGAATTACACCAAATTGCACAAATCACCTTTAAATAAATGTGCATTGTTAGCTTTTTAAGTAACACTTTTCTAAATGTATTTAAATAAATAATTTTATGTAATATTACAGTTATAGGTTGTTTCATGACTGACTTCACGAATGACCCAAGATTTACTTATTTAAGACTCAATCAATGTATAATTTGTATAAGTGTATTATAAATGTTTCTTTTATTTGATTATAGATGTTAAGCTCTCTTTACCTACAGAGAGTTTAGATTTATATAACCAAACTTGCACAATATATTAAAATTAACATCTGTAAAACTCGAAGGGTACTTGAACTATAAATTCACTTCTCTCTCTCTCTCTCTCTCTCTCTCTCTCTTTACTAGAGTAAACATATCAGTTTATCTCATTATGAATAACATGATAAACCCGTTTTGTATAAAAGCACTCAATGTCTCTGTCATTTTTATGAGTCTAAATTGTTATGAAATCATACATGAAGAGCTCAGAAGTTGTGTTTTACAGTATATGTTAATTAGTGATGAGTACGGTGGCCGAGAGAGCTCAACGCGCTGCAAATAGAAAAAACACCTGCAAATTAAGAAAACAACTTCATCAATTTGACAACACACGTGGTGCAAATGCTCGGGCGGATCTAGCAAATCATTTTTAGGGTGGCAAAGGGGTGGCATGGGGTCTATGAGGGGTGGCAACACCAAAGCAAGCCCCCATGCATAGTTTTTGGGGATTTATGGTCTGACATACACAGTTGTGTTCACAAATATTGTATTACCATTAAGTAATCATCTATACTGCTTAAAATGAAAAATAAATAACATTTCAAGTCAATGCACAATATAAAAAACTTCAACAGGTTATAAATGTTTCTGAGCTTGTATCACTAAAGAAGACATGCAGTACTATTAAAATTGCATAGGCTACTTAGATGGTATAAATCACGTTTTAGTGCAAGTTTAAGAGCAACAGAAACTTTAGAATATCCTAACATTAGAAAGAAATACAATAATATCAAAGCACTGAAACATCAGTTTTGAAAACAGTGTTTGATGTTCTGTTATTAACAGAGGTGGGAATGTC